AACGTTAACTCTGTTTTCTCCTCCACAGATGCTGCCGGACCTGCTGAGCTTTTCCAGCAACTTTGTTTTTGTTGCTCGAGAATGTGGTGATGAGCTGCCTTCTTGAACTGCTGCAGTCCAGGTGGTTTAGGTTGATCCATAATGTCTTTAGGGAGAGAATTCCAGGATTTTTGATCCAGCATGAAGAAAAGGCAATAAATTTCCAAGTGAGGATGGTGAGCGACTTGTCGGGGAACTTGCAGGTGGTGTTCCTTGTCCTTCTAGATGGTAAGGTTTGTTAGCTTGGAAGGTACTAAGGATCTTTGGTGAATTTTTGCAGTGCATCTTGTAGGTAATACATATTGCTGATACTGGAATTGTTGGTGGAGGGAGTAGATGTTTGTGGATGCAGTGCCAATCAAGCAGGCTGCTTTGACCTGGATGTTATCAAGCTTCTTGAATGTTGTCAGAGCTGTACCCATCCAGCCAAGTGGGGAGTATTCCATCATACTCCTGACTTGTGCCTTGTAGATGGTGGACAGGCTATGGGGAGTCAGGAGGTAAGTTACTCTCCACAGTATTCCTCGCCTTTGACCTGTATTTGTAAGATGCGCCCAGCTGAGGTTCTGGTCAAAGGCAACCCCCAGGATATCGATAGTGGGGGATTCAGTGATGGTAACACTCCTCTATAGAATGTCAAGGTGCTGTAGTCAGATTGTCTTTTCGTGGAGATGGTCATTGCCTGGCATTTGTGTGGCACAAATGTTACTTTCCACTTCTCAGCCCAAGTGGCAATCTTGATTTAATGACACAACTTATCACAGACCAATGAACATTACATGTTATACAGTAATGCAACATTACATACAAATTAGAGCAGGTGACATTATTTATATTTGTGAATGCAGCAAAAAAAATTGGATTTTAACTTTTTTTTTGTTTGGTGAAACTGTCAATAAATAGCTTTACCTCAATTCCCTATTAGACTGAATAAGATCACAGATCAAAGTTTGTCGTCGTTCTGCATCTTTCATTAAAGTGCTCACCATCTTGCTTATTTCCACGACTGACTGTTTATCCAGAAGAACCATATCTACCAAATTTTCAAAAAAAATCTAGTGAGCATGCTTTCCAACAAAAAGTAATAAGTCAAGAGAACAATGGCTACTCACAATAATTAGCCATTTGGAAATGTTCAACACGAGAACACTGGAGGTAGCTAAAAGTTTGCAATCTTGGGTACCATGACAAATTGATCACTATAATAAATCTCTATCTTCCAATAATTAAAGTTATATCATTAGTGGTATATGGCCATAACTGCACTGTATTGTTCCAAAATGACAGTTAAAGCTCACCAGATCCCCAGATTGTTTGCCATTATGTAAAATGGAGTAGTGTAATTCTTCCAAAGTGCTTGAAACAGAAAGGTGACAATAACACTTTTGTCTCAAGAGAAGGCTTCAGTAGCTCTTTCATTGCCTTTGCACTTGTCAAAACAGCAATGCAATGTTTCTATCATCTTCCACCTGGACTAAGTTCCAGGCAACCATGTCACTGTGGAAAGTGCTTCCCCCATTTCACTCCCAAGCAACCTCATTTTAATCGAAAAATTAAATATTCTTGCTTTAAAAAAATTACCCACCAGAAAGAAAATAGTTTGAGTATTGAATTATTTAATCACAGGAAATGTCACATCACAATAATCATTTATAGCCTGTAGCCCTGGCCAGCAGCAATTTGAAAAAAAAAACTAAATGTCAAAGTATCTCCATCAATAGTCAGCCATAAGCAGGTCCACTGCTTTGACTCTTCATGCTGACACATGGAAACTGTGTCCCATGGCCCCATGGCCCCAAAGTAACTGTTTTGATTCCAGAGGAGGTTCAGCCCTCAGCCACGCAGTGTCTAGGTCTACTAGTGTGTAAACAGCCTGGCGCTCATGTAAACTTCTATATATGGGCAAATGGTACCAGTACCTTGTGGATACTTTCAGAAGAGTAGAAGGTTAAGGGAATAAACCTTGAACAAAAAAAAAAAAATCTGGAGTGCAGCCTGCTGACTGAAATTGAGAGGTGGATCGCAATGTACAGACAGACCAGGGTCTCTGTAAATTTTATCCAAACTTGCACACTGGAGAAACAACACACCAGTTTTCCCACAGATAACACAACACATGAAACAGCAGTTACAAGTAATGATAACAACTCGATTGAAATAGGGGACAGTTGTTATGGGCTGTCTCTGACAAGAGATCATCATGTCCCACTTGTTTAGACAGTATATCTAACCGAAACATGAATTTGACATCAACAAGTCAGTACACTAGCTCAGTCACTTGTTCACCTCTCCAGTTTTTAGTCGTTCGTGGATCTGCAAGCTGGACTGCTTTGAAGCCATGGTGTTGAAGGAGCTTGTTTAACCTGTCCCATTCGGATTGTTCATACTAGAGAGCGAGAGAGAGAGCGCGAAAAAAAAGAACATTCTGTAAATAAAAGATTTTCCAATTACAGGCAGGCAAAAAATTGAATATATATGCTGAATTGCTTTTTATTTTAAGTGTGATACTGAAATAGTACACTTGTAGCTTTAATCAAAGACTGTCTGCAGAGCAACAAATAAAACACATACTTTAAATGTTACAAATGTTGTGTTGTATTTCAGAAGAGATATTAAACTGGCCTTCTCAGGATGTAAAAAGATCCCAGGGCACAATTCAAGGCAAAACAAAAGAGTCTGAACAAATATTTGGCCCTTCAGTAACAGTAGGAAGAGTATATCTTCACAAAAGGGACTGAAGTGGCTCAAAAAGTCAAATCACCATCTTCTCAATTTAGGAAAGGGAACAAATGCTGACCTTACACAGGGTTGCAGGGGAGCACAACAGACTTTACAGGAGTTCATACATTTTTAAATATTGAGGAGTTGAAGCCTGAAATATGAGCCATGATCTATAGAATGGCTGGGGCAGGCTTGAAGGATTGAATGGCCTACTCTTCCCTCTATTTCTTATGTTCAATTGAATTCTGGAGTTTAAGGCCTGGACAGATAGTAACATGTGGCAAATGAGCTAATAAAATCAGAGATACACAAGACACTAGAGTTGAAGGCGCTTGGCATCTCAGAGTTGGAGAATTTGACAGCCAGAGTAAGGCAACAATGCAATATATCAAGACTAATTTTAAACACCCAGACATTGCTGGACCAGGAACCAAGTAGCTTGCTTGATCTCCAGCAAGCTCGAGTGAATAGGTCTTGGAATATGGGTGCAAGGTTGTAGGCCAATCACACAACTACTGAAATAGCCAAGACTGGAGGTAAGAAAAGCATGTATAAGCAGAGCCAAGGCAAAGTCAGGTGGTTTTACAGGACATGGAAGTGAGCAGTCTTTGGATTGATTGCATTTGCTGTCTACACAGCATTTGCTGCATCTTAGCATTTATTCACCACACCAGGAGAATAAAATTTATGACAGTGTAAATTTTACATCAGCCAAAATTTTGTTGCATATACCCAAAAGCCCAGTAAGCCCACTAACCAACACAAAATTCAATCGCTTTGCCCCAAAAATTCCAACATTAACCTTTATCAGTCAAGCCTTCATCAATTGTTTTCAGCAATACTTACATCTGAATAAAATAACGTAATGTGTTAGTATAACATGTTGAAATAAAGGCATTCTTTACCATCCATAGCAAAGACAATTCTAAATCTCTTTAAAAAGCTTTTACCTGTTGCAAGTTATCTTTATCCACCCCTGTAATAAGAAACAAAATGTCATGTACAGAGTGGAACTCAATCTTCCCATCTTCCTCAAAAATGTGAACTTGGCAATTAATTTTAGCCGAGATCATTTACAATATAGATCGGGAATCTATTACCTGAACTGGTCTATAGATATTTTTGGTATTTGGGTCCAATATAGTCTATCGAGTCCTTTGGATTTAAAAAAAAAAACTTCCTTTCATGCAAACGGACCTAAAATGAGAAATTTGTTTCAATCCCCTGACGGGCTCAGACAGACCTGTAGACACACTCAGTTTGGCCCTTTGCTTTTCACTCTGTTCAGGCCAAGCAAAGTTCTTTTCCAAAGGGCCAGAACTTAGCATGTTGACAGGTCCCTTTGTGACCACTTCCGAAAAGAGCTTCTGCTTTCTATGTCTGGATAATGAATACCGGTAGTAAAGATTACATCTATAATGTCGGTTATTTAATCATACAATTTTTTGTATCAAATTGTAGACTATTATGCATCTGCAGGCTACCACTTCCCAACCTGTACCATTAATAAAATATTCAATTTTGGGGAAAAAGTACAATGCTCAAGCTGGAGCTCTTGCAATGGTGCAATATTGATGTCCCTAACTGTCGGCCTGGAGGGCCTGCGTTCAATTTCCACCTGTTCCAAGTGTAATAGTATCTCTGAACAGGTTCATTACATAATGCCTCACACTGTTGTTAACTGCTGAAAAATAAATCAATAGACAAAATTGTACCCCAACTTAAGTGTCTATAGGTGGAGCTCATTGCATCACTAGTGCCTTTACAACGTAGGAGTTTTGTTCTTTCATCAGCCAACAAAACGGATGTGTGACAGGCAAACAAACAGCTGAGTCTTTTTGTCGTCCAGTTCTGGATAAAAAGAAAAACAGTGAAAATAGCATTAATATCACTTTTCGTGATCAAAGTAGCAACAACATATTGTATGTACATAGCATCTTTAACATTGAAATTGTCCTATTGTGCTTCGCAACAGTTATCATACAAATTTTGACAATGAGCCATGATGTACAGGATGATGTAAGGAACTCTAAAAAGGAGACAGCAATCGAGAAGTAGAGAGGCTTAGGGAGAGAATTCAAGAGCCCATAGCCTGCTCACTGATGCTCAGTTCAGGTTCCATCGGAGCTACAGCTCCCAACCTCATTCAGCCTTAATTCAAACATAGACAAAAAGAGCTGAATTCCAGATGTTAAGGGAGAGTGTTTACCCTTGACATCATAGCTGCATTTGAAAAAATGTGGTATCAAAGATCTCTAGAAAATGGTAAGAGGGATACTTCTCCACTCATTGGAGTCATACCTCGCACAAAAGGAAGATGGTTCTGATTGTTAAAGGTCAGTCATCTCAGCATCAGGACAGGACATTTCTGCACAAGTCCCGAGGATGGTTAACCTGTGGAACTCTTGCCAAAGAGGGCTGTGGATACCAAATTATTGATTATATTTAAGACAGAAATAGATAGGCTCTTGATTATAAAAGGGGAAATCAAGGGTTACCGTGAGAAAGCAGAAGGCAGTAGACATTGTCAAAGATTTATGTCAAGGGTCCTTATGGACATGCCAAATTTCCTGAGCCGCCTGAGAAGGAAGAGGCATTGTTGTGCCTTCTTGACCATTGCACCTACGTGGGAAGTCCAGAACAGGTTGTTATTTATCGTCACCCCTAGAAACATGACGTTTTCTACTCTGTCAACCTCAGCTCCATTGATGTCAATGGGGTTGTGTTCTCCTCCTTTCTTTCTGAAGTCAATGATTGGTTCTTCAGTTTTGCTGATTTTGAGAGAGAGGTTGTTCTCATTGCACCACGTCACCAAGCCCTCTAACTCCTTTTTGTATTCTGATTCATTGTTGTTAGATATCTGTACTACAACAGTGGTGTTGTCAGCAAACTTGTAGATGGCACTCATTTAGAATTTGGCAACACATTCATGGGTGTACAGGGAGTACAGTAGGGGGCTGAAGATGCATGCTTTGGTGGGGGTGGCTCCAGCGTTGAGTGTTATTGTGGGGGAGGTGCAGCTGTTTATCTTCATTGATTGCAGTCTGTGGGTGAGAAAGCAGAGAATCCAGTTGCAGAGGGCAGAGCAGAGGCCAATGTCTTGGACTTTTGAGATTAGTCTGGAAGGGATAATGGTGTTGAAGGTGGAGCTGTAGTTGATAAGCAGGAGTCTAACGTAGGTGTCCTTGTTGTCCAGATGTTCCAGGGATGAGTGCAGGGCCAGAGAAATTGCGTTTGCGATGGACCTGTTATATCTGTAGGCAAATTGTAGGGGATCTAGGTAGGCTGGGAGATTAGAGTTGACGTGGGCTATGACCAGCCTCTCAAAGCACTTCATGATTATGGAGGTCAGAGCCAATGCACAGCAGTTATTAAGGGACATTGCACGTGCTTTCTTAGATACTAGCATGATGTCGGTCATCTTGAAGCAGGTGGGGACTTCAGCTTGTTGGAGGGAGAGGTTGAAAATATCAGTGAATAGCTCCGCCAGCTGGTCCATACAAAGTCTAAGTGCTTATCCAGGGACTCCATCTGGGCCTGTTGCTTTCCTTGTGTTATACACAGAACATAGCACAGTACAGGCCCTTTGGCCCACGATGTTGTGCCAACCTATTATCCTACTGAGATCAATCTACCCTGCATACCCTACATTTTACTATCCTCCACGTGCCTATCCAAGAGTTGCTTGAAAGTCTCTGAAGTATCTGACTCCACTACCACTGCCGGCAGTGCCTTCCACACGCCCACCACTCTCTGTGTGAAGAACCTACCTCTGACATCTCCCCTATACCTTCCTCCAATCACCTTAAAATCATGCCCCCCTCGTAATAGTCATTTCCGCCCTGGGAAAAAGTCTCTGACTATTCACTCTATCTATGCCTCTCATCATCTTGTACATCTCTATCAAGTCACCTCTCGTCCTTCTTTGCTCCAATAATAAAAGCCCTAGCTCCTCATAAGATCTGCCCTCCAGCCCAGGCAGCATCCTGGTAAATCTCCTCTGCACCCTCTCTAAAGCTTCCACATCTTTCCTATAATGAAGTGATCAGAACTGAACACAATATTCCAAGTGTGGTCTAACCAGAATTTTATAGAACTGCAGCATAATCTCATGACTCTTAAACTCAATTCCCCTGCCAATGAAAGCCAACACACCATATGCCTTCTTTACAACCCTATCAACTTGGGTAGAAACTTTGAGGGACCTATGGATATGGACCCCAAGATCCCGCTGTTCCTCCAACTGCCGAGAATCCTGCCATTAACCCTGTAATCTGCATTCAAATTCGACCTTCCAAAATGAATCACTTCACAGGTTTTTGGGTTCTGCCACTTCTTTGCTCAGCTCTGCATCCTGTCAATGTCCCATTGCAACCTACAATAGCCCTCCATGCTGTCCACAACTCCACCAACCTTCGTGTCATTGTCAAACTTACTAACCCACCCTTCCACTGCCTCACCCAAGTCATTTATAAAGATCACAAAGAGCAGAGGTCCCAGAACAGATCCCTGCAGAACACCACTGGTCACCGAGCTCCAGGCTGAATATTTTCCATCTACTACCACTCTGTCTTCTATTGGACAGCCAGTTTTGTATCCAGACAGCCAAATTTCCCTCAATCCCATACCTCCTTACTTTCTGAATGAGCCTACCACGTGGAACCTTATCAAATGCCTTGCTAAAATCCATATACGCCACATCCACTGCTCTACCTTCAATGTATTTTGTCACATCCTCAAAGAATTCAATAAGGCTTGTGAGGCATGACCTGCCCCTCAAAGCCATGCTGACTATTTCTAATCAAACTGTGCTTTTCCAAATAATCATAAATACTATCTCTCAGAATCCTCTCCAATAAGTTGCCTACCACAGAAGTAAGACTGACCAGTCTGTAATTTCCAGGATTATCCCTACTCCCTTTCCTGAACAAGGGAATGACATTTAGTTGACTCCCAGAAAGACCAATCCATTGTCTGCAGCAGTGACAGAGGGAACAGTTGTATCCGGGGCTGTCAGGACAAGGGCTGTGGTACACGCAACACCACCACCTGCAGATTCCCCAAGCCACTCATTATCTTAACTTGGATATATATTGCTGTCCCTTCACTGTCTTTGGTCAAAATTCTGGAATTCCCTCCCTAATGGTATTGTGGGTCGACCTGCATGGACTGTAGCTATACAAAAAGGCAGCTCACCACCACCTTCTCAAGGGCAACAAGGGACTGTCAAAAATACTGGCCAATCTAGTAATACCCTCATCTCATAAGTCAATATACAAAAATAAACATAGTGCATCAGCAGCTGAAGGTATGGCAAAGCAATTGAGATCAGGATGTGCACGAGATTAAAATTGAACACGTACAGAGATTGTGTAAGGGCTAGATTACTGAGTTCAAAAATGGTAGTACCATGCACAGATTCAAAACAAATCAAAATTTTCAGAGTGTGTTTGCCACATCTGGAGGCAATGTAGGACAGTCAACAAAAGAATGGGATTGGTCTGAGTAACAACACAGGCAGAGGTTTGACTGAATTCAAGTTAAAGGAGAATGAAAGATAGACAGACAGCAGAACAGTGAAATAGTGTAAAAGTAGCAAAGGTATCCATGTGGGTTTTAGCAGGAGATGGAACCAAGACAAAGGCAAGGGTTTGTCAATACTAAAAACTGAAGTAGGCAGACTTGGTGATGGAGCAAATAGGTCATCTCAGACTCAAAACATGCAGAATGAGTACAGGGAATTAGGAAAGAAGCTGAAAAGCAGGACCTCAAAGTTAGTAATCTCTGGGATTACTACCAATTCCACATGCTAGTGAGGAAAGGAATAGAAAGATAAGACAGATGAATGCATGGCTAAGGAGCTCGTACAGGGGGCAAGGTTTCAGGTTCTTGGATCATTGGGACCTCTTCTGGGGCAGGGATAACTTGTACAAGTAGGACGGGTTGCACCTAAACTGGAGATGAACCAATATCTTCACGGCGAGGTTTGCTAGTGCTGCTTGGGAGGGTTTAAACTAGAGTGGCAGGGGGCTGGGAACCAGAACAGCAGATCAGCAAGTAGAGAAGTTAAGAGCAAGTTAGATGTTAGGACCAGTAATTCAGAGAGAAAGGACTGGCAGAGACAGGTAAATGAACATGATGGTACTAATGGGCTGAAGCGTGTTTATTTCAATGCAAGCAGTATTAACAGGTAGAGCCTGATCAGTACATGGGACAACAATGTTGTGACCATTATACAGACTTGGTTAAGAGATCAATAAGATTGCTCAATGTTCCAGGGTTTCGGTGTTTTAGACGAGTTAGAGAGAAAGGTAAGAAAGGTGAAGGAGTTGCATTACTAATCAGGCAGAATATTACATCTGCACCCAGAGAGGACATACTGGAGGGCTCATCCACTGAGGCAATATGTGTAGAGCTCAAAAATAAGATTGAATTATATGAAATGGCCCCCCAGCATCCACCAAGACATTGAGGAACTAATATGTAAGCAGATTATGGAGATGCAATAATAACCAAACTTGTCGTAGTGGGTGACTTTAATTTCCCCAATATTGACCGGGCCTACCTTAGAGCAAGAGGCTTAGATGAGACAGAATTTGTCTGGTTAATAAGTTTGCAGAGGACACCAAAATTTGATGTGTAGTGGACAGCGAAGAAGCTTACCTCAGAATAAAATGGGATCTTGATCAGATGGGCCAAGGAATGGCAGATGGAGTTTAATTTAGAAAAATGTGAGGTACTGCATTTTGGAAAGGCAAATCAAGGCAGGACCTGTACATTTAATGGTAAGATCCTGGGGAGTGATGCTGAACAAAGAGACCCGAGCTATCAGGAGAGGTTGAATAGACTGGGACTATTTTCCCCAGAGCACTGAAGGCTAAAGGATAGCATTGTAGAGGTTTATAAAAACATGAGGGGCGTGGATAGGGTAAATAGACAAGGTATTTTCCCCAGGTGGGGAAGTTGAAAACTAGAGGGTACAGGTTTAAGGTGAGAAGGGCAGGATTTAAAAGGGACTGAAGGGGCAACTTTTTCATAGAGAGTGGTGCATGTGTGGAATGAACTGCCAGAGGAAGTGGAGGAGGCTGGTGCAATCACAACATTTAAAAAGTATCCGGATGGGTATACAAATAGGAAGGGTTTAGAGGGATATGGGTCAAATGGGACTAGATTTAATTAGGATAGCTGGTCGGTCTGGGCAAATTAGATCAAATGGTCTGTTTCCGTGCTGTATATCTCAGTGACTGTAAGTGCATCCAAGAGGGTTTCTTGAAACACTATGTGGATAGTCCAACTAGAGGATGGCCAGGTGACTGAACTTTCATTGGGAGAGCATTTTGGAAACTGTCATCACAACTCCTTAAGTTTTAAGATAGCAATGAATAAGTCAAGACTTTGTGGCAAGCTACTAAATTGGAGGAGGGCAAATTACATCAGTATTAGGCAGGAGTTAGGGAGTGTTAATTGCAAGGAGCTGTTATCAGACAAGTCCACATTTGACGTGCGGGAGTGGTTTAAAGACCTGCTAATGAGAGTTCAGGGCCGGCATGCTCCACTAAGTAGTAAGGACAAGGATGGCAAGGTAAGGGACACTTGGACAACAAGGGAGTTATGAATTTAGTCAAAAGGAATAAAAAGAAGTATATGTAAGGTTTAGGAAGCTAAATTTGGACAGGGCCCATGAGGAATATAAAGAAAGCGGGAAAGAACTCAAGCAGGGAATTAGGAGAGCAAGAAGGTGCCACGAAATGACCTTGGCAAGTAGGGTTAAAGAGAATCCCAAGGCATTCTATTCATTTATTAAAAACAAGGGGATAACTAGGGAGAAGGTAGGACCACTTAAGGATAAACGAGGGAACTTCTGCAAAGAATGGAGGGATATGAGCCAAAGGCTGGCAGAAGGGATTAGTTTAATTTGGTGTCATGATCGGCATAACAACGTGGGCCAAAGTGCCCATTCCAGATACCTTCTGTGTAAAAAAAAATTTGCCTCACATTTCCATTAAACTTTCCCCCTCTCCCTTAAACCTATGTACCCTAGTATTTAACATTTCTACCTTGGGGAAAAAAAAAGACTCTGACTATCCACACTGTCCATGCCTCTCAATTTTATATACTTCAATCAGGTAGTCCCTCCAACACTCAAGCAAAAACAATCCAAGTTTGTCCAACCTCTCCTTATAGCTAATGCACTCTAATCTAGGTAACATCCTGGTGAACCTCTTCTGCATCCTCTCTAAAGGCCCCACATCCTTCATACAGTGTGCCAAAAGGAACTGCGTAGAAGACCCCAAAAGTGGCCTAATAAACCTGCAACATGACTTGCCAAATTTATACTCTGTGCCCTGACCAATGAAGACAAGCACGTCATACACCTACTTTACAACCTTATCCACTTGTGTTGCCACTTTCAGGGAGCTATGGACTTACATCCCAAAATCCTTCTGTACACCAATGCTCTTACGGGTCCTAGCATTTAGCATATACCTTCCTCTTGCACTTTACCTCCCAAAATGCAAAACATCTCACTTAGCCAGATTAAATTCCATCCACCATTTCTCCGCCCAACTTTCCAACTAATATCCTACTGTATCCTCTTACAACCTTCCACACCATCCACAACTCCAAAATTTTATGTTGTCTGCAAAATCACCAGTAAGACCACCTACATTTTCATCCAAGTCATTTATATATTACCAGCACTGATCCTTGTGGAACACCACTGGTCACAGACCTCCAGTCTGAAAATCACTGCTTCACAACTAACCTATCTTCAAAGACCATACCAATTTTGTATCCAATTTACCAACTTATCGTGGATCCAATATAACTTAACCTTCTGGACCAGCCTACCATGTGGGACCTCGCTGATTTTCTTTAGTAAATCAATATAGTCAATATCCATTGCCCTACCCTCAAATCACCTTTGTCACTTCCTCAAAAAAAAATCATATTTAACAGTCAAGATCTCCCTGCACAAAGCCATGCTGACTATCCCTAATAAGAGACAGTGGGAACTGCCGATGCTTGAGAATCTGAGATAACAAGGTGTAGAGCTGGATGAACACAGCAGGCCAAGCAGCATCAGAGGAGCAGGAAAGCTGACGTTTCAGGTCTGGACACTTCTTCAGAAATGGGGGAGGGGAAGGGGATTCTGAAATAAATAGAGAGACGGGGAAGGCAGATGGAAGATGGATAAAGGAACAGATAGGTGGAGAGGAGACAGACAGGTCAAAGAGGTGAGGATGGAGCCAGTAAAGGTGAGGAGTTAGGGTGAGGATAGGTCAGTCCAGGGAGGACAGACAGGTCAAGGAGGCGGGATGAGGCTGGTAGGTAGGAGGTGGGGGTGGGGCTTGAGGTGGGAGGAGTGGATAGGTGGGAGGAACGATGGACAGGTTAGGGAGGCGGGGACGAGCTGGGTTGGCTTTGGGATGCAATCGGGGGAGGGGAGATTTTGAAGCTTGTGAAGTCCACATTGATACCATTGGGCTGCAGGGTTCCCAAGCGAAATATGAGCTGCTCTTCCTGCAACCTTCGGTTGGCATCGTTGTGGCACTGGAGGAGGCCCAGGATAGACATGTCGTCGAAGGAGTGGGAGGGGGAGTTGAAATGGTTCGCGACTGGGAGGTGCAGTCGTTTGTCGCGAACCAAGCGTAGATGTTCCACAAAGTGGTCTCCAAGCCTCTGCTTGGTTTCCCCGGCCACATCGGGAGCAGCGGATACAGTATACCACATTAGCAGATGTGCAGGTGAACATCTGCTTGATGTGGAAGGTCTTTCTGGGGCCTGGGATACGGGTGAGGGAGGAGGTGTAGGGGCAGGTGTAGCACTTCCTGCAGGTGCAGGGAAAAGTGCCGTGTGTGGTGGGGCTGGTGGGGAGTGTGGAGTGGACAACGGAATCACGGAGAGAGTGGTCCCTCCGGAAGGCAGATAAGGGTGGGGAGGGAAAAATGTCTTTGGTAGTGGGGTCAGATTGCAGATGGCGGAAGTGCCAGAGGATGATGCGTTGGATCCAGAGGTTGGTGGGGTGGTACGTGAGGACGAGGGGGATTCTGTTTTGGTTGTTGTTGCGGGGAGGGGGTGTGAGGGATGAATTGCGGGAAATGCGAGAGACAGGGTTGAGGGCATTTTCGACCACTGTGGAGGGGAAGTTGCGGTCCTTAAAAAACGAGGACATCTACATCTTACCATCCTTATCTTTCATCTCCCCCCCCCCCCCCCCAAGGGGCATGCTAGTCCTGAACCCACATCAACTAGCATTTAAAAGACTCCCATATATCAAATGTGGATTCACCCTCAAACATCCACCCCCAATCTAATTTCTCAAATTCCTGCCTAATAATGTTGCAATTAGCCTTCCTCCAATTTAGCACATTTACCCTTTTCCATAACTACCTTAAACTTTAACAGAATTATCATAGATCACGGAATCCGTACAGTGTGGAAACAGGCCCTTCAGCCCAACAAGTCCACACCGACCCTTACAGCATCCCACCCAGACCCCCCTCTAAGAGCATATGATCACTGTTCCCAAAATGCTCCCCCTCTAAAACTTCGATTACCTGGCCAGCTCTAATACGGCCCCTTCCTTAATTGGACTATCTACGTATTGTTTAATAAGCCCTCCGGGATGCACCTAACAAATTCTGTCCCATCTAAACCCCTGGTACTAAGGGAGTCTGGTTAATACTGGAGAAGTAAATTAAAAAAAAGAAAAAAAAAAAATCACCCACAACAACAATCCTGTTTTTACATCTTTCCATGATCTGACTACGCATCTGTTCCTCTATCTCCCACTTGCTACTGGAAGGCATGTAGCATACCCCATCATAAGGATTGCACCTTTCTTATTCCTGAGTTCTACCCATATAGCCTCACTGGATAAGGCCTCCAAGAGTCCTGTTAGTGCAGCCATAATCAATAATGCAACTCCCCCAGTCCTCTGTATCCCTCTCTAACATGCACGAAACATCTAAATCCTGTAATGTTGAACTGCCAGTACCGAACTTCGCTCAACCAAGTTTCAACATTGAAGTTCCTTTTACCTATCCATTTCTCCAAGCTCATCTGCCTTACCCATTATGCTCCTTGAAATAAGTACACTTCAGGTTGCCACTCTCATCTAGTTCATTAACCTTGTCAGGCCTGTTCTTCCTATTGAACTGACTTACACTGCTCCGATTCCCAACCCCTTGCAGCACTAGCTTAAACCCTCTCGAGTGGCACTAGCAAACTTCCCGGCAAGAATATTGGTAACCCTCTAGTTTAGGGGCAACAGGTCCTTCTTGTATCTATCTCTCCTGCCCTGAAAGAGATCCCAACGATGCAGATAACTGATGCCCTCCCTCCTAAACCAGCTCCTCAGCCACGCATTCAACCACATTATCTTTCAAAATTTCTGACCTCACTAGCAAATGGTACAGAGTGTAATCCAGAGATTACAATGCTAGAAGTCCTGCTCTTCATCTTTCTATCTTATTCCTTAAACTTCCTTTGAAGGACCTCATCTCTCTTCCTGCTTATGCCATTAGTACCAATATGGACCATGATCTCTGGCTGCTCACCCTCCCTTTTCAGAATGTTACGTGCCCATTTGGAGCCATTCTCAAACCTTGCACCAGGGAGGCAACATATCATCCTGGAGCCTTGCTCATGACCAGAGAAACACCCGTGAACCTGACTACAGAGTCTCCTATTACAACCACTCACCTATACTTCGAACCTCCCTGTTGTACAACAGAGTCAATCTTGGTGCCACTGACCTAACTGCTGCGGTTGCTATCCCGAGAGACCCCATATCTTCTCTTCCCCACAACCCACTAATATCCAAAATAGTACACTTCTTCGACAGATGAATAGCCACAGTGGATTCCTGCAATTCCTGCCTGCCCCGCCTGACAAACACATCAGTGACTGAACCTTTGGTGTGACCCTATCCCAAAACTTCTAGCTATAAAACATTCTGCCTCCTGTATACTTCGCAATGAGTCCAACTACTGGTCTAACCGATCCACATAGTTCAAGAGGAGCTGCAGGTGGACACAGTTATCAGGGATACGTGACTTCTCCGAGATCTCACAGGGGGTGCATACCACTCCAACTTCCATTACTACTCCTCTGGAAATTACTAGATTAAAAAGGAAAAGGAAAGACCTGACCTTGCTGCATCTTAATGTTACTTGCCCTCATTACAAAAGCCCGCATGTTGAACTCAAACAGCAGCACTTCAAGCTCACAGCCCTTCTCCAAAGTGGCCACTCCCGCAAGAGCTCGCTTTCCTTTAATATGCTGCCATTAGGAAGGGAAAAGTTGGTCTCTTACATGTCCCTGACTTTTTTAAAAAACCACCCTCTGTTGGATGCTCTTCCCCTTTTTTGAGCACAGATTCCTGTTGTATGCGAGCTCCTGTTCAGATACAAAGCGATACATAAAATGTGACATCTTCAGTTTTTGCCTTGTTACAAACTTCAGTTATCACATTCTCCATCTTCACAACAAGCATTTCTAACTATATCTATCATTTTTCTAACTTCTGCACTGCATCTGTCATCTTCTGTCTTCATTAGTCCTAAGTAGCCAATTTAAGTAATTATTTCAGGTAACACCATTCATTTCATTCTGGTTTCTTTCAATGTACTCATTTTTAAACAACCATTCTATTGCCTTTTTGGTATACACACAATGAATATTCTGAATTTATAGATTTTACTTGATATTTTGTTAGCCCACATCCAGTTCTGCAAGCAGCAATGTGCTCATCAGCATACAAGATTATGTTATTGCTTCCAATTAATCCTAATTACTTGTTCTGAATATAAATTGAATAATAATGTGGTTTACAACACTTTTCCTTTTACTCAAAATGCATTTCATTGCTTCTTTGTAGGCCGATGTTCACTCTGAGAATCTCTCCAGACTTTGGATTCTTTTATCTTCATTATCAATATCACATTTCAGCAACATGTCTATTACTTTTTTTGCTGATAAACATGATCAAACACTTTTTCATATTCTATGAAGTATATGTCAACGTTTTTGTTTATAGCAAATTTATGCATATCTTATTCACAGACAGGCCACAGCCACAAAGCAGAAATGACACACGAAATGTCGGATCTGCAGACTGAAAGATCTGTAAATTATAAGTAGGAGAAATGGTTCGTTGCAGTTATCACAGGAGACCAAGTAAGAGTGTACATACTCAGAAATAGTAACAGAAAATGCTGGCAACATTCAGCTGGATCAAACAACTTGAGTGGAAGCAGTGTGAATATCGAAATATTGAATCAATGACTGTACCTCAATTACTACTTCAAACCACTAGCAGCGCAAATGGCTCCAAACAGAATAATATTTCGACCAATATCGTCGCTTAATAGAGGCCAACTCTCCAGCTTACTGTATCTACAGTTTCAAAACTGAATGAACGCCTCCCTCAGGTTTCTTCTTTCTAATGCCCTTCTACCGTTAACCCACCACCCCCTACAGGCCCAGCTGTTTAACAGCCTGACATTCGGCGGGAGGGGAGACTCCACTACAAGGTGATACGGGGGGGGGCGCGGGGAAGCAAATTACAGTTATTTCATATTATCAACACCGAATTTAAAAAAAAGTTTTCTAAAACTTTTCCAACGTTACCACAAACAAAATCAAACAGTTTCAAAAACGCACATACTTGCTACTTAGCTTCTTTAACATCATCAACAATTTGAATTACCTTTATCAGCTTCTCCCTTTCCCTCAAGGTGATACGCTCCCATGGGCAAAGCCAACCCCCTGAAAGTCGACGCGCAAGGTAAAAACCACGCCCTCAAGTACAAATTAGCCACTCAGGTTACACACAGAGAACCAACCATTCGGAAAGCAGGCAATAAACCAATCGGACCACGGGGAATTAGCCAATGAAATCACATACAATGAACCAATCGGATTGCAGAGGATTAGCCAATCGGATTAGGAAACGCTAACGGGGATTCTCCCCGATGGAGTGGGGTAGAGGTGAGTGTTTTCGCGAGATCTGGGCTGCGATTTACTCAGCGCTGGGGTCTGCGCAGTAATGGAGGAAGTTAGGGGAAAATGTATATTTTGAGTGCACGATCATCCTGACGGCTGTGCTTACTGCTGAAGGTGTCAAATGCAAATCAGGCAGCGATCCGGGGTTTTCCTTGGATATCTATGTGAAGAACACGGCCGCTGTCGCGAGGAAGATAGCGGCTGCAAGTTGCCATAGTTACCGGTCGGTGTTGGCCAGACGCGGAGGAGCTCAGAGCTAATAAATAACAGGTGGCCTTTAAATTCTCCTTTAGAAACATTGTGACTCCTGCTCAGTCTAAGATTAAACTTTATCTTCCCATTTCAGAGTTAATTTTTAAGTGCCCTATCGAAGTCATTAGTGATGTAAACTGGGATTAGTGTAGGTTCTGATATAACAAGGTGTAGAGCTGGGTGAACACAGCAGGCCAAGCAGCATCAGAGGAGCAGGAAAGCTGACGTTTCGGGTCTGGACCCTTCTTCAGAAAAGTAGATTCTGTTATGAGGAAGGGTCACCGGACCCGAAACGTTAACTCTGTTTTTTCCTTCACAGATGCTGCCAGACTTGCTGAGCTTTTCCAGCAACTTTGTTTTTGTTCCTGATTTACAGCATCCGCAGTTCTTTTGGTTTTTATTTAGTATTTTTTTAGAGCAGATCACACATGGCTGTCTCCTAACATTTTACTGCAGTAACAAATCATTGTTTATCGCTGAACTTACTAAATTCTAGGTGGTCCAACTAGTTCAAGATGTTTAAAGCAAATGTATTCAGTCGGTATTTACCGACCGTATCATAGGCTAGAATAAAATATACTCATCGTTATGATCAGAGTATTAGGACGGCATCTTAACGAGTAAAGCAAATGAAGTAAATAACCACCAATATCACTTCAAGTGTTCATCTAAGTTTTTTTTTAAAAATAGTGGTTTACTCACCTCAGCCAGCCTTCAAGGCAGCGCACTCCAGATGCCCACTGCCCTCCACGCAAAATAAAAATTTCCCCAAGTCTCCTCCAGACCTCCCGCCTTTCACTTCAAAAGTGTTCTGTGCAAGAGATTTAGTGTTGATTTTAAACTAAAATTTCTTTAATTGTGAACGAATACTTCTTCCAAAACAAATGGCTTACTATATGACCAGAGATGTAGGAGTAGGTGTTGTTCATTCGCTCCACTGAGTAGCAACCAGAGCAATGGCTACAGAAAATCTATCGCTGGACCACAGTCATACCACAGCAGTTGTCAGGGTAGCTGAAACTGTACTTAAGAATGTTCTTAGGATAATTAAAAAGAAGTGTTTGGCATTTCTTCATTACTAGAGGCTTGCAGAGCAAATCCAGAGTGAAGTAAGTTAGCACAGAAAGCTAATATTGAGGCTACCAGAGTTCTAGACTGTTTATGTACTACAAGCAAAGTTTTGATGACAAAGTCTCCGAATGGTTGTTCATCAAATAGTGGTACTGCCCAGATATCATAAGGAAAAAAATGCATATGGAGTTCCTATGACAGGGCATATAGGAATACAGAAAACACAGGCATTGAAAAACAGATAATTTACATGGTCAAGATTTCGTATGTGTCAGATGGTAGAAAAACCTCACCATGAAATAAACCAGCAGCATTGATAGCCAAGTAGTTTTTTTTTAAGAACGATTTAGTTGAGTGTTAGTAGATTGTGTAGGACTATTATCACAAACAAAAGCAGCTTAACAGTATATCCTTAAAGTTCTGGTTGCCCTGCTACAGGAAGGATTTTATTAAATTGGAGAGGGTTCAGAAAAGATTTACCAGGATATTGCTTGGAATGGGGGGGTTTGAGTTATAGAAATAGGCTGGGACTTTTTTCACAAGAGCATAGGAGGTTGAGGGGTGACCTTATAGAGGTTTATAAAATCATTAGGCTCAAAGATAATGTGTATAGCAAAGGCCTTTTCACTAAGGTGGGTGAATTCAAAACTAGGGGGCATATTTTTAAGGCTGGAGGGGGAAGTTTTAAAATGACGAGGGGCAATTTTTTTACACAGAGAGTGGTTTGTGTGTGGAATGAACTGTTAAAGGAAATGGTGAATGCAGGTACAGTTACAGTATTTAAAAGACATTTGGATAAGTCCTCAACCAGCCTTCCAGGCAGCACGCTCCAGACCCCACCACAGCCCTCTTTACAGGGTGGCATGATGGCTCAGTAGTTAGCACTGCTGCCTCACAGCACCAGGGACCCAGGTTCGATTCCACCCTCGGGTGATTGTCTGTGTGGAGTTTGCACATTCTTGCCGTGTCTGAGTGGGTTTCCTCCGGGTGCTCTGGTTTCCTCCCACAGTCGAAAGATGTGCAAGCTAGGTGGATTGGCCATGCTAAATTGCCCGTAGTGTTCAGGGATGTGTAGATTAGGTGGGTTATAAGGACGGGTCTGGGTGGGATGCTCTGATGATCGGTGTGGACTTGTTAGGCCGAAGGACCTGTTTCCACACCAGGGTTTCTATGAGATGAGGTCAGTATATGAATTGGAAAGCTTTGGAGGGATGTGGGCCAAATGCAGGCAGATGGGACTAATTTAGTTTTGGAATATGATTGGCATTGCCTAATTGGACTGCTGGGTTTGTTTCCATGCTGTTTGACTCTATGAATCTGCAGGATTCTTTACTGCAGAGGACTGTAGAACTGAGTCATCAATTATGTTCAAGGCTGAGATGGATAGATTTTTCATCAATAAGGGAATCCAGGATTATGGGGAAAAGTTTAGATGATGGAGTTAAGGATTACCAGATGAGCCATGATTTCATTGAATGATGCAGCAAAATTAATAGGCTGAATAACCTATTTCTGCTCTCAGACACATGGTCTTATGGCCATAGATTGGAATACAATGCTGTTGCTTCAAATGCCCCACAGCACCTCATGGATACCCAGTCTTGAGTTGCTAGATCTATTTGATCTATCCCATTTCATGCAACGATTGTGTTACACAGAACAGTGTAAGGTTTTTTCAATTTGAAATGGAACTTCGTCTTCACAGAAGACCACCGTGCAATGGTCACTCATACTGATACTGTCACAAACAGATGTATTTGCTGCAGTCAGCTTGATGAGGGTGAGGTTGCGGGTGTTTTTCCCTCTTGATTCCGTCACCACCTGCAGCAGATCCAGCCATGTCCTTGAGGACCTGGTCAGTTTGGTCACTAGTAATACTGCCGAGCAACTCTTGATGGACATTGAAGTCCCAAACCCAGAGAACATTCTTCGCCATACCCATCCTCATTACTTCCTGCAAGTAGTGTTGTACACAAAAGTGTACTGATTCATCTGCTTGGAAGGAGGCAGGGGAGATCATAGTTGGTAATCAGCAGGATGTTTTGTTGCTCATAGTGTTACTATCAGACTACACTATGCATCAGTCCTGCGAGTGGGACAGGCTATACCCAAGGGTGGTAATGTTCTCTGAAATATGTGTAAGATATGGTTCCTTGTGAATGTCTTTTTCAGGCTTTTGTTTTATTGGTCTGTGAAACCCTCTCCTGATTTTGGCACAAACCTCCAGGTGTTAGTAAGTAGGATATTGTAGAGTCAACAGGGCTGCATTTACCATTGAAATTTCAGGTACTAAATTCTAGGTGGTCCCACTAGTTTGGCTTTCTAGCAATTTATACAACTGAAGTTGTAATTGATGCAACTGAATGGCTTGATATGCCATTTAGGAAGGCAGTTAAAAGTCAACCATATTGCTATGGGTCTGGACTCACACAGAGGCTAGTTTCCTTGTCTAGATATTTGTCAATCCTGCAGGTTTTTATAACATTGGTTTTGTGGTCCAGAAATTGGATTGAATTCAAATTTCACCATCCGCTGTGGTGAGATTCAAACCTGGGTCCCTAGATTTTACCTGGGTCTTTAGTTTACTAGTGTAGTGATAATGCCACTAGGCCATTGACTTGCCCATAATGCTCATGCAGTGCATTTGGCACACGTATAATGAGTACATGGTGTAGGTGTGACATTGACATAGCATGGTGCCATCAACATTTCCACTCCTTGACTCGTGACTGTCGACAATCATGACAAGCTGCTTGACTTTGTATCAGCACTGAAAGGCAAGGCAAAACAGAAATACAGAAGCCTATTAGTCTGGCTGAGGAGGGAAAACACGGAAGGAAAGACAAGGTGAGGCGAAGTAGAGACTTTCTGAGTATTCAGTTGGGCTTAAAATAAGTGAGTGCTGAAACAGCATATGAGGATCCCTGAAATCCACTCTAGATTAATTCAGGAGATGGATGCCTGGCCCTGCACACAGTGTCTTGCTGCAGCATTGCAATGAGAGATGCCAGTGCACTCCTAAGTATAGTATTGAATTACAGAACTCCGCTGTGAGGATGAGAGATGCCATGATGATGCAGTGAGACTGGTACATGTCAGATGCCAAGGTCTGTGGACATGAGATGCATGTAGACACTGCCCATGGAATGTTCCCTCAGATGTTGGTAGCGGTCTCCAAGATGGATGTTCAGAGGAGTAAACAGTGAGCTGGAGTCACCAGGTAACCGTTTGATTTTCATGTCGGGAATTCTTGATGTCTAGTTCTTTTCTGGCTGGTGTGTGACTTGGAAACTGCATATTAATGTGGCAAAATGAAGTAATATCGGTGCATAATGAGTGATAATCTATACAAATAGGTTCTCTCTACTCACGAGCAAGAATCTCATTTCGCCATTAAAAATTTTAGCAAAAGTTTCCATTTTCCAACAGACATCTTCCCCAATTTTCCCAGCTTTCTTGCCATGAACCACATTGGTCAGGGCTGGGAAGATTTTGTCCACTGAGTCAAAGAGCCATCTCCTTGAAAGCTTTGGAATAATTCATCACAGTCTTGTGCCATAATGTTATTTTTGAAAAGCTACAATCTATCCAAGCATTGGTCTTGAGAATAACGTAGTTTGAATACTTCTGCAAAATTAAATATTGACACTTAAAATTATACA